TTTCTGAAAGCTTAAATTTTGATTTTTTCGTGCCATTTTCCACCATCTTGCATATTTTCCCAAAAGACCACGTATCTATTTGCACTTTGTATGTGCTTCCCTTGTATCCCTTTCTCAACGTTGCGCGACAACAGAGCACATTCATTTACTACTGGTGCGTTGCATAATTATCAGAGAAATTCCTATTTTGCATGTATTTTCTGAAGAAAAATGCAAGGAATTCAACACTATGAACAAAATACCTATCCCACAAAACCCAAAAATGCAACCAAAAGTTACCCAGTGGGTTTCAAGCGTGTGACACGCTACCTGATCGGGAAATCCTGACTGGCGGGTCAATCGATCGTCACAACCACAGGTTGCCAAGGGTCGTCATTCGACCGTTCGAACTAGAGTGGCGTGACTATGAACAAAGTCTAACAATAGTTTGGTATTATTACAGTCCTGACGGACTTCCGAAAAACATCCAGATGTTCAATAGAGGCCAGTTTAGGTGCGGATTTGCTGAGGCCACCTTAGTCTGTCCACAGATCTTTCGTAACTGTTATACTCCCAAGTAAAGTTCAATCCACACATTACCACAACCACCGGAAACAACCATGTCTGCTGAAAACTGGCATCTGTGTCGGCGATACGCAGGGCCTACCTCAGAAATCTTACGCCGTAACTTTGAAGCACACCATGCGGCTCAGAGATCATGAAAACCGATTGTAGGTGTGCTGTGTTTTGCCGTTGTTTGCTTTGGCATGCTCGCCTTCTCTACAACTACCACAATGTGATTTGGAATGGAGCACAAGGTCACGTGATCCCAAGTCGCAAAACACGAACAGCACACCACACTTTGATAAGCCAAACCGCTTAGTGGTAATTTTGACAGAGCATTTGCGTTGTGCAGAAACCTGAGAACAATTCTGCCTACGCTAGAAAAGCGCTCAAAGGCGCTAGTGGTGATTCCGACCACTTGTCTCTACTCGATGTGAGTGATGCTTTGCCTGTTTGATGCACCAAGGTATTGACTTAAATTTTCGAGTAGAAAGTTAGTCGGGCGATTCTACGTAAATTGGAGGCATTTGAAATGCACGGGTAATCAAACGTGTTACATCAGACGGCGAGCGTCCATCGGAGTGACCAAAACCAAGTTTGGGCGTTCGAATCCCATTTGCCCTACATGACATATCTGTCTGGCTCCATCTAGGCTAAACTGAGCAGCACTCACCAAATGAAGTTCTGCCGGGTGTTAAAAGTTTAAAGAGTAACATTAAGTCACTGAAGACGAACACCAATAAATTACGGTGGTCCTCTGATTATTTCACATCCCGTTCGGCCTTCTTTTGTGATCCCGCGTTCGGAAGTTACAATTTATGAATTTTCACCCGAACGGACAGTACAACTTGGTTTTACAACGGCTTTCTATCGCTGAAATGGCTGTACTACGTGGTGTAAGAACGAGTAACCGTGTAATTATTTCACCTACTATATTTGGATTGAACTAGTAAGCTATAAGAATAAATCGTTCAGCTGTGACACCTTTTCGGTGCCTAGCTGCCCGGCGGAAGCACGAGGGCTGGGATACTGCCAGGTTGCCCAAGCCTATACAGGGGAAGTCGAGTGGCAGATGTCGGGTTCGAACCACGGTCGGTAAACTCGCCGCCCTAACCCTTGAGCCATCTCGCCCCCTATAAGGATAAACACTGTTCCCACCGCGGGATCTTGTATTTCACTCATAGTTCACTTTATCCGGGTCGGGTGTGCACGTACCGGTAATCCAGACGCAATAGGCACTTGAGTTTCGTAAGCATGCATGGTTGGTCTGCACGTTTTGTCCACACACACACGGTGCATACATGCAGCTGTAGTTTACTTCAACATGCAGTTCCCACCCGATTTTACCATTGATTCTTGTCCCAAGTGAAGTTCACTTCTTGTTCACTCGATCTCAGGTTATCGGAAAATTTCGTGGCTTCCTGGGTCTACTACACCGAAGGTCGTGATATTAGAATGGGTCTTTCGAATCCATTGTAGTCTATGAAAACGTCCTTAGAGGAATTCGAGGCAAGTCGTGGAGAACCAAACGCTGAAATCAATCCGACAGTCCTTGATATCAACAAGTCTGATAAGTAGACAACTAAACAAGATCACATTAATGCTGGTCTGCAGGAATGGAGCAGAGGTGCTGAACCGGACTAAGTAAAAAAAATCGTTCACCTGTAGCACCCTTTCGGTGCCTAGCTACCATGCCACCCGAAGGTTGCAAGAGGGCTGGGATGCTGCCAGGTTGCCCAAGTCTAGACAGGGGAAGTCGAGAGGCAGAGGTCGGGTTCGAACCACGGACCTTCTGGTCAGTAAATTCGCGCTCTAACCACTTGGACCGTCTTGGACTAAGTCAGGAACTGATTTGATCAAAAATGGCGCCAAAATCAAATCCACCGATTCTGGTATGTAGTCGAGTCGGACATTTCGAAACTGCTGGTCAGGGATCGAACCTACGTCCACCGAGTGAGCCGTGTGACCGGACTTCCAATGGACCACTTTCTAAGAACCCGGGAGATTGGGGGTCGGAAATTGTGACTCTTTATCAATGCGACAACTGACAGATCTCTTCTTTAGCAGCGAATTGTTTGCGCATCTAGTGGAACCACGCCATTTGCTGCTCAGATCATGGAACCAGTAAACAGCAAGATAGTACACATAAAGCTGGCACTCGAAAGAGGCAACGAGAATCTTACCACGACAGAGGCAAGTGAATCGAAAATTGGGCACAGAAATAAAAACATGACACACCAGGGAATTGTGGGAAGCGATCGATAGTTTTACTCTGCTCCGCTTACGCAAAATAACCAAAAGAGAGAAAAACGGGTGCGACAGAATTGTAGGACCAACCCATGATGTCGTCTGGTCCGAAGAAATAACGTTTTACGGCTTTTTTCCGAACAAATAGACTGGCAAACACTTAAATCAAGCCACTGACATTGAGAACCTAAGGAGGTCAATGAGCCTCAGGACCAACCTGTCGTCTGGTCCGAAGAAATAACGTTTTACGGCTTTTTTCCGAACAAATAGACTGGCAAACACTTAAATCAAGCCACTGACATTGAGAACCTAAGGAGGTCAATGAGCCTCATGGGAGTCGGTTCAACATACGCTGCTGTAATCTACCTCGTTGGTCTGTTTTTATCAAAAGCACCGTACTAAACGCTTAAACGTCTTGAGAAAACTAGTTCGCCTGTTTCGAATAATCTACAGAGTTCGGATCACACATCCCCGATACAGTCCAGTTCAGTTGGACAACAACGACAACGACCTTGAGAGCAAACACCCACACTGTGACTAACAGCAGTGTAAGTGCACGCATTCTCGTCTCATTAAAAGGCACACGCTGCATGAAACTTTGAACACCTTCTCCACATAGGAAACAAAAGACGGGTGAAATGTTGGTGGTGGTGGCTGATAAATTGAGGTAACTTGGAGGTGAAGATTTCGTTGACTACACCAGGTGATAGCATGGAAATATTCGCTGACAGCAGGGGGGAGGGGGTTGGAAATGACTTGTTTATCCAGTTAGCCATCTCCAACTCTGTATGTGGCCTATGGCCAAGAGCTCCGACCAGAAGAAGGAAAGCCAAAGTGATGGCCACTGGGCAGACCATAAAGTGCTTTACTATGACGATTTCCATAACTGCACCAATCAGTTATTCGGCAGCAAAATATATTCACTAGTGTATCTGCCTCTATTGCTACTCACCATTCTTTTCAGCGACCTTAAGCATCCAACCCTGCGGGAAGAAAAAGAGGCAAAAGGCGTTTTGGCCGGATAGAGGAGTAAGGTTGAAAACGCGGTATCGGCAGTGTGTCGAAATATTGTTAGCTCGCGCGGATTTCTTGCGTGTTGATCAAGTGGATGTCGATTTGTTTGTTGAGCCTGGCAGTTAGTCTGCAGAAGCTTCGTCAGTCAGTGCGTGGTTGGTTAGGTGCTTCCTCTTTGCCTACCTGCGTTTCGTCAGACTATCTGACAAGTGTTCGTGAGATTGACCAGTTGCAGGGCACCTTTCTCATAGTAATACTGTTGTTCTGCGGTCTGTACTCCTTGCATTCGATTGGTTCATTGATCAGCTTCTTTTGGCATCACATCCTGAAAACATATCATACGCAACACATACGTGCATTCATCCACCGTTCTTCTGATCTTACTGAGTGATTGTGATATGAGGAAGGGGCTCGCGGGTACCACAAGATGACCGGATTTATCCAAGTCAGATTGCCATTCGTGGCAATCTATCCGAAGGTTACTGGACAGTAAACGTAGTGATTCAGTGTAAAAGTATCACGGTAACACTTCAGGAGAGACAACTGCGAAGTTTTTGCGGCCAATAACTTATATTTATGTCTCGGCAGAATGCGTGTGCTAACATGCTCAGGTATGGGAAAGTTTGACTCGCCAGAACATTCACACGAGATGTCCGGCCGGATGAAAATGAAGCAACCAGCCGCAGGACAGGTTAACGGTCCGTTGCCCTACCTTTTTGATATATCAGGTGGATGGCTCAGTGGTTAGGGTGCCAATTTACTGACCGGAAGGTTCGTGGTTCGAACCGGACGTCTGCATCACAACTTTCCTCGTCTAGGCTAGGGCAACCTGGCAGTATGTTCACCCTCGTGCTTCTTTCAGTTGGCATGGCAGCTGGGCAGCGAAGGAAGCACGATGGCTGAGATACTGCCAGGTTGCCAAGCATAGACAAGGGCATTCTAACCAATGACCTTCCGGTTTGTAAGCTCGCGCCTTAACCACTTAGTCATCCCAAGCTAATCTGTGAATCAGTGCGATCCAACAAACAGATTTTTTAACGATTAATCGCTTCACGTAAGCCAAGATACGGAGTGTGAAGCTCACGAGACATCCCTTCCCGATGACTATCCAAGTTGTCTGCATTAGGTGAAGACGCAGTACAAGTATTAAGTGTCGCGCACTAAGACTATAAATCCACGAAAGTAGTAAAACCCACCTGCTAGTACTGAAGGCGGTTGATCGGAAACTGACAGACTGGAGAGTACCGCTCGCAGTTCATCTGGGAGAGTCAAGGAGATAACCGAAGTAGCATCATTCGGCACTGATTCGTCCACACGCTCCATGCAGGGTGATAGCGAACGACGTTCAGAACGATCTGGTGTGGTTGCCCTGGCACTGAAAGATGAGGAACACTCTGAGTCGGTCGTCACGTGTCCTTGGAAAGAGGTGTCCGGCTCGGCTACTACTTCATCTTCCTGGAAGCGTGGCACGTTGAAGGCAGGAAGGTGTAAAGGGAATTTGTAAAACGAACCCGCAAAACGTCCGATCCATGAGGTAAAAGTAACAGCAACAGTAACAGAAAGAAAAACCACCCTATTTCCCGAAAAGTTCAAATAGACATTCGACCATTAGTGTGCATGTAACGGTAGGTTGGGCTTCGTACATGTATATCAGGCAATCGTGTCATCGGAAACATAACTCTAGAAAGGGACATCGACGTTTCACTGCCGTTACAGCATAAATCGAAGAATCTGAGGCGACCGCGTAACTTGCTTGAGTTCGGTTGGGAAAGTACCGCAGGTAATGAGTTTCTCACTCTGTGTTCAACAGCGAAAAAAATTCCGCCCGCACACAAGTGGGCTAAGTTTTCAGAAACATTATAAACTGAATTATGAATAAATGATCTTGACGTCTACCGTTGGGCTAATAATCAGTCTGGTTGGCAAGTGTTGAAATTTAGACATCGGGAATAAATGATCAAAACGGAAATTTCGCAGAGATCTCTTCTAATTGTAAATTACGCTCGAATCGGAGGTAAAACATACACAATAGAAGCAATCCTTCTGGGTAATCTAGAGGGTAAGAAAGGAAACTTGCTGAATAGTCAAATATGAAGCTGCTTTTTTATATAAGAAGAACTTGTCTCTGACAGACTCGTGAACTTCACATAGAACAGAAAACGAGGGTCTGCATCACAACTTTCCTCGTCTAGGCTAGGGCAACCTGGCAGTATGTTCACCCTCGTGCTTCTTTCAGTTGGCATGGCAGCTGGGCAGCGAAGGAAGCACGATGGCTGAGATACTGCCAGGTTGCCAAGCATAGACAAGGGCATTCTAACCAATGACCTTCCGGTTTGTAAGCTCGCGCCTTAACCACTTAGTCATCCCAAGCTAATCTGTGAATCAGTGCGATCCAACAAACAGATTTTTTAACGATTAATCGCTTCACGTAAGCCAAGATACGGAGTGTGAAGCTCACGAGACATCCCTTCCCGATGACTATCCAAGTTGTCTGCATTAGGTGAAGACGCAGTACAAGTATTAAGTGTCGCGCACTAAGACTATAAATCCACGAAAGTAGTAAAACCCACCTGCTAGTACTGAAGGCGGTTGATCGGAAACTGACAGACTGGAGAGTACCGCTCGCAGTTCATCTGGGAGAGTCAAGGAGATAACCGAAGTAGCATCATTCGGCACTGATTCGTCCACACGCTCCATGCAGGGTGATAGCGAACGACGTTCAGAACGATCTGGTGTGGTTGCCCTGGCACTGAAAGATGAGGAACACTCTGAGTCGGTCGTCACGTGTCCTTGGAAAGAGGTGTCCGGCTCGGCTACTACTTCATCTTCCTGGAAGCGTGGCACGTTGAAGGCAGGAAGGTGTAAAGGGAATTTGTAAAACGAACCCGCAAAACGTCCGATCCATGAGGTAAAAGTAACAGCAACAGTAACAGAAAGAAAAACCACCCTATTTCCCGAAAAGTTCAAATAGACATTCGACCATTAGTGTGCATGTAACGGTAGGTTGGGCTTCGTACATGTATATCAGGCAATCGTGTCATCGGAAACATAACTCTAGAAAGGGACATCGACGTTTCACTGCCGTTACAGCATAAATCGAAGAATCTGAGGCGACCGCGTAACTTGCTTGAGTTCGGTTGGGAAAGTACCGCAGGTAATGAGTTTCTCACTCTGTGTTCAACAGCGAAAAAAATTCCGCCCGCACACAAGTGGGCTAAGTTTTCAGAAACATTATAAACTGAATTATGAATAAATGATCTTGACGTCTACCGTTGGGCTAATAATCAGTCTGGTTGGCAAGTGTTGAAATTTAGACATCGGGAATAAATGATCAAAACGGAAATTTCGCAGAGATCTCTTCTAATTGTAAATTACGCTCGAATCGGAGGTAAAACATACACAATAGAAGCAATCCTTCTGGGTAATCTAGAGGGTAAGAAAGGAAACTTGCTGAATAGTCAAATATGAAGCTGCTTTTTTATATAAGAAGAACTTGTCTCTGACAGACTCGTGAACTTCACATAGAACAGAAAACGAGGATGCTACTCAGCGCACAGACCGACAAGTAGAACTCAAACAAGTTGGATATAAAAAATCAGTCGAGAAACAACCAAGGCTGTCTCCGTTGCAGATGGCCGAGCGACACCAACAGAGCGTCAAACCACCGCCCTGCGAGGACATTTTGTTAACAGGACAAAAATAAAACTCACCAGACCTTTTCTCCCGAGAGGATAAATAACAGGTAGGTGAATATTTTCATCCTCGGTGATGCCATCAGCATCTGCTGATTCGAACTGAATTAGAAAGAAATCAGAGAGCTTCGAAAAAACGAAGATTGACAGCAGCAGTGGCAAACACACTCACAATTCGGTTAAGTTGTATTCATAAATGAACGCCTGTGAGGTCGGTGAGTAATTTGTCTCAGTACAGACCAGAAAATATACGAGCTCGGAGCTTACGGCGACCCGGAAGAGCGAATTGCGGCTGTGATACAAATTACGCCACTCAATACACCATTTGAAGCGCTATTCAGGAACATGTTATGGCTCGAGCGGTACTAGTGACCGGGACGTCCGTCGTTTGATTTGATTAATTCTGTCCACACCTCGGCATCTTCGCGATCTTCGGTAAAAATAAAAAAGATAAAGCGTTCAGCTGTAGCACCCTTCCGGTGCCTAGCTGCCATGCCACCCGAAGGGAGCACGAGGGCTGGGATACTGCCAGGTTGCCCAAGCCTAGACAGGGGAAGTCGAGTGGCGGAGGTCGGATTCGAACCGCGGACCTTCAGGTTAGTAATCCGCGCTCTAACCACTTCGGCCATCTCGCCCCCTTCGGGCTTCCATCGAGTTACCCGGAAGTCACAGACTGGAGGGATTCCACAAATGAAACGATTTATTTATTTCTGTGAACCCATTCACGTTCAAAAAGGCAGGGACAAGAGAAAACTCAGTGGTGGACGCCAAAGATACTGAACAGAAGGTTGAGATCTAACCCCAGCTTTCCGGTCACTTCAGTCCGGGTACGGCTAACGTGTCAGTATTGCACCCCTGATGCTTCTTTGAATCTTAAGGGCAGGATTCTAAGCCACTGCAATGCAGCCGTTCGGTTGTAACATAATTTCGATGCTGCCATGCCACCCAAAGGAAGCACAACGGCTGAGATATTGTCAGGCTGCCCAAGCTCAGACAGAAGATGAGTTTAGGTTCGAACTACGGACCTTCCTGCAAAAAGGCAGGGACAAGAGAAAACTCAGTGGTGGACGCCAAAGATACTGAACAGAAGGTTGAGATCTAACCCCAGCTTTCCGGTCACTTCAGTCCGGGTACGGCTAACGTGTCAGTATTGCACCCCTGATGCTTCTTTGAATCTTAAGGGCAGGATTCTAAGCCACTGCAATGCAGCCGTTCGGTTGTAACATAATTTCGATGCTGCCTGCCATGCCAAAGGAAGCACAACGGCTGAGATATTGTCAGGCTGCCCAAGCTCAGACAGAAGATGAGGTTAGGTTCGAACTACGGACCTTCCTGTCAGTACGTTTTGCCCAAACCACTGGAGAAACTCGAGCTCAGATTATTATATATTATTATCGTTCAGCTGTAACACTTTGGGTGCCTAGCTGTAATGCCGCCCAAAAGAAGCACGAGGGCTGGGATACTGCCAAGTTGCCCGAGCCTAGACAGGAGAAGTCGAGAGGTACAGGTCGGTTTCGAACCACGGACCTTCCGGTCAGTAAATTCGCGCTCTAACCACTAAACCATCTTGAGGTCAGAAGTTCAGACCAGTTAGACAATGAGCCAGTTAAGACGTTCTTCGATCTTTTCTAAGGCGAAGTTCTCACCAAGTAGTCACTACAGTTGAAACTGATGGTTCCCAGGCCATTGACTATATCTGCCACTGGAAACAAGGGTTAGTTGCAATCCGGGGAGATGTAAACACGGTTAATCCAATGTGGGAAACTGTTATCCTTAATATTCTGGAACCCTCAGGAATCGTACAAAACCACTAAAGCAACACCTCTTGATGAGACCGCAAAAGTACAAACTGAACCATTCTACGTCATTTAATTGTGGTACCTTGGAGTGCATTCCTGCAATCCGTAAATGTGAGAAGGCTAGCATACTGTCATGTTGCCCAAATTGGATAGGAACAGATGAAAAGTCGGAGATCACGGTTTAACCCATGAGTTATATCACGGAGCTTTGAATCACGAGTACGAACGCATGTAGGCTTCGTATCCCACGACTGTTAACCACTTTATAGTCTTCTGTCATTGTGATGCCGTTAACTTGGGCACTGCATTCATTCACGGCAGCCTAACTAAGGAACATGATTTCTCAGTGAACATAACGGAATGCCGGCTAGGAAGGGATATCTCCATCGATAGAAATAGCTGACTAAAGCAAAGCACAACTGCACCTGAGCCTAACTAGCCTACTAAACGGTCAACGTTAGCGGGCAATTGCTGTGAGTGACTGTATTACCCACAGTGTTACCAAGCACATTTTCCCCCAGGTTCTCTGTTCATGTGCGCGCCAGTGAGACAATCACCCCGATGCCGTGGGCAGTGTCTTGGATTAAAGATGTGAATACGAACCAAACCAAGAAGGATAGAAACAGATGAGATAATGGTGATTTAGTAAGCTGATTTCAAGTATATAGATGGGACGTGCTTGAATGAGGTAGTATATGGTGATTGGAAACCCCTCAGAATCCGCACATGCCGCTATTTCAGGCTCAATTTATCTGCGACATGATGTAGCTTGGAATGTCCCGGATGGCTTTGTCTCAACTGTTTACCAAATAGCCCAAAGTTTTGGATGCGAGTTAGCAAGATGCGACCGGTTAGTGATCTGTTACCACAAACCCCCATTGTCAATCGATCATCTTTACATCTATGCAAACTGAGTGCCTAAGACTTTCTGATTCTGGTGGACTAATTGGCAATTATTCGCCAAGAGGGAGCCACAGATGAGAACCTCTAATTTCCCTCACATGCTTTCAGTTCGCGGGATATGGAAGGAGTGACCCGAAAACACGGTTCGCGTGAACTTAATTGTCCTTTGCAGATGAAATAAAACAAGTAATTCTATGGGGATTTCGATGGCTGCATTACCAAGCACCGGTTCTCTGGTCACCGTAATACAGCTGCGCTGGAGACAGATCAGCCCGTAAGGCACGAAATCATCCAACACAAGGTCTGCGATTTGTAGTCTACGCCTGGAAAACCCAACATTAGCTCAGCCCTTGTGCTTGGTTCGAGTTGCATAACAACTGTGCACCGAAAGGGAGTAACAAGTGGACTACTATTCTCCGAATCAAATCGCACTCTTTCGGTGCTCAGCTGCCGTGCCAGAGGAAGGAAGCATGATGGCTGGAATACTACCAGGTTGCCCAAGTCCCACTTCGTTCTAAATCCACCGAAGCTAGCCAATACCGGTTACGTTTAAGCGACCTCAACGTCAAAGGCAACTCTGTCAGATGGAGAGAATTCTGGCCTTTGGTGATTCAATCTGCCAAAACCACAACTGCCGGAGCCCTTCAACTAAGCAAGGCGACATAAAACCCCAATATCTCTCCTTGAAATGAAAGGTGTGTCTGAAAGTGGATTCGATCAACCAGAATCACATTGAGACATCGCAGTCTGATGGCAGCTGTTAACTATGCCAAGCATATAAAGAGCAGAAAATCCCTTAATGCCGCCGTCTCTAGAGGCATACAGTCTGTAGCTGATGGGAAGATTTCTGTTGATTGTTGGCACGACGATGCACAGACGCATAGACGCAGAAAGCTACTCGCAAACAATTGGCATCGTCTTTTTCTGGTGCAGTGAACTTTAGTCCTGGATGTTTTACCTTGGGTACCACGGATATCTTTGCTCTTCGCGATCATGTGAACGGCAGATAAAAATAATGGTTACCGGTTAGGATTTGTCATTCTCGTCAATGGCGAAGATGGCGAAAAGGCAAATACCGCTCGCAGACCCTCAGACGCAAAAACTTAAGACGATGATCGTATTATCCAACATAACTTCGGAGCTTACTCGTTCTGCAGTCTGATGAAAGATTATCGTATTTTGATGGAATACGAGGGAAGGGTGGCGGTGCCAGAACTACTTCAACATCTGGTTGGGGGTGTAACTCTTATCTCTGCACCATCAAACGGAGCTTACAGGCTGCCGAGTCACAACGACAAACGCCATTCTCAACACCACAAAGTGCAACGCAGCATGACAGACGTTGCTTGCAGGCATACCTAAGTCACTGGTCGGAGTATGGACGGCCACATCAATAAAAATGATGTTCCCTCATGACACAGTATTCAAAAACAACGCTCTCCAGAGCACCCATACTAAGAATCAGCTGTATTCAGCATCCTCCTCGTTTTGTGACTTAGGTAAGGTGGTGCCAAAAACCTTGCAGAAATATTGTAAGAACGGCCATACCCAATAACACTTACGTCTTCATACATTCCCAGTTTATCTGGTGCACTTTCAAACGGATAATCAAACGTTCGGGGTTCTCCAACCGCTTCCTTCCACCAAAATCTACAACAAAAAAATCAATCGAGCAAAACCACTTTCTTACTTCACTTCGGACAAAGTTGCATCACGAACTAGTGGTGCCTTGGCATTCCCTACCGTAGAAGCGAATGCCGTGCCAGAGACCACCGATTGTTCAATGGGCTGATTGAAACAATTGTAGACTCGGTCGTCGAAATTCAACACCAAGTCTGTGAGAGATCCACTGCAAAGCAGGTCCAAATCTGACTGGTCTGTTGGTAGCGATCCATCTGAACGTCTACATTGGACTGGTTCATTGAGACAAATTTGACCGCGGCTGCTTGAATCATCGGATAAAATGTCTACCTCCTTGCATCACGACTAGTGGTGCCTTGGCATTCCCTACCGTAGAAGCGAATGCCGTGCCAGAGACCACCGATTGTTCAATGGGCTGATTGAAACAATTGTAGACTCGGTCGTCGAAATTCAACACCAAGTCTGTGAGAGATCCACTGCAAAGCAGGTCCAAATCTGACTGGTCTGTTGGTAGCGATCCATCTGAACGTCTACATTGGACTGGTTCATTGAGACAAATTTGACCGCGGCTGCTTGAATCATCGGATAAAATGTCTACCTCCAAAGGGGCTAATGGTGCGTCAACACACAAATCCATTGAACTACGGTTGTGGCCCAGCCGGCTGTCACCTGGAAGGAGAAAGGACCAAGTGTCACTGCGAAGTAAAAGAAGTAGTGTGACTCATAAGCTGACGATGAATGATCATTGTAGGGTGTTTTGTGATCTGCCAGACAGAGCTGTCGGTGTCTAGCTCTGATGTCGCTAAAAATGATAACGACAACGGCTGATAATGTTCGCTCAAATGAATAGTGTAACTGGTCACCGCAAGTATGTTAATCGACTTGAAGAAAGGCACTAGCAGGAAACGAACCCGTCGCATTCGGCGAAAGGCTGGAGAAACTGAAGCACGTATATGCATTGGACGTGCATCGCAGGGCTGACAGTGCGGGGTCAGTACCGACTTATGGAAGACACATGGAAGCCAATTCAGAATAAAGCTGCCACAAGTCCCACCGTAAGAACTTCCACATGAGACAAACAGCCATCCGTCAGTGTTGAGGGGCCAAAACACCAAAGTCCTATAAGGGTCTATTCCATATGGGCAACAGTGAGCACCTTGGGAATCTTGCTAGATTGGAAAGTTGCATTTGTTTACGTTTCCTTCAATTTGACTTGCTTTCCCCGTCTTTTTGAGCAATAATAGCGGACAGTGGGGCCACAAAATAACGCTTCAAAGTTTGACGTCGGGCTCACAGAACACTGATCGAAAACGGGAACAAGCACCTCTAAGTGTGTGAAGCACCCAAGTCACCGAAAATGGTACCAGAAGCAGTACCATTAAAAATTGGCATCACAGAACATGCGGTCACGTGAAACCCAAAACCATCAATCTCTACACTCAACAGGACGAAATACGACCATTTACCAAAGTATGGTCGAAATAAACATACGTGAGACGAGAACAGCGGATTCGGCAATCGGTTACCAAAGCTGCGTCCAAAACTAGGACAGAAGATAAATGTGAGTAAATGGCATCAGCATTGTGTAGTGAAAATGAAATAGCCAGTGCGGGGTTTCAGCAGAGCCTGCCAGCGGCACTCAAACTAGTGGCCAGGATCAGTTTACAGTCGGAAAGCCCCTAGTGAGCAGAGATTAGAATTAGGCCGTATAAGTAGAGCGCCAGGCCCTCCTTAATGTGATATCCCTGCTTGATTATCTAACCACCCAGCCCTAAAGAGGCGAACCAATACTGTGACAAATATCGTATCAGGAAGCTATACAAACCAACCGGAATTATGGTATGAAAATACGCGCGTGAATTTTCTTCGAACATCAGGAATTACTCCGTACTGGGCTGATTTTCTGCATGAGGGAATGGGAACGTTTCTCCTTCAGTAACTGTTCAGATATTCACGGTCAACGAATTGACATACTAAACGACGAGGATGTACTGGAATTGCCCCATATTTCTCCTGAGAAATCAGATCACACGGAAATTTAAGCAAGTTGGTAGCAAACATGCGAGCCCCTTACAGTAACCTACAGCCGAAAACTCCCTATCTGTCGTTCGCGATTACATCCGAAAGCGACAAATGGCTTGGCAAAACTCACACTGAAAACACTTCGACAGTCCACGAATAGTTTTTCCCCTATTGGGGTTTATACGTAGGCGTAATATACAGATTTCCGTCAGCCTTGTTCCACTTAAACAAACTGTACGCAGTTGGGAAGATGAATTTTGGTGTTAGTGAGTGGCACAAATGACCTGAAACACCAAGACCGAACCGTTCGCCTGTAACGTCCATTCGGTGCCTACATGCCATCCTCCCGAAAGGAGTATAAGAGCTGAGATACAGCAGGTCGTCCAAGGCTAAACAGGGACAGTCGAGAGGCAGCGGCTGGGTTCCAATCACAGACCTTCCAGTCCAGGTGTAACCAATGAGCTATTTCGAGCTCAAGATCAAACGCATTATCATCATCATCATCATCATCATCATCATCATCATCATCATCGATATCATGATATCAGTGTTCAACACCGATGCTTCGTTACCATACAACCATCATTTATTTGAAAGCCTTACTGTAAAGAAAAGGATAAAAGTGGACGGGGGAGGGACTTGGTTCTAGCTTACTACAATCACTGCGAGGCACCTACACCTCCAAATGCTCATTCCGGCAATCTGGATAGAAACTGACGACAAGATCGTGAGTGACATCGGTTGGCATCCATATCTTGCAGCGTCTCCAACCAGACGTAGTGGGGATCATGCAGTCTCCATCCTGAAAGGCGAGTAGCGCCGACAGCGCCGAAACGTTTCGTGATTTATTCAATACCCTACTGACATGTCAAAGGTTGTCCACCTCTCTGCTTCGGTTAGGTTTTCCGTTAACACCGGAGTACTTTCGAAATGGGGTTCAGTTCAGTCCAGTTGAGGTGAACAACCGTGAACCATATACGTACGTATGATGCTTCTGGAAGCCGCAACATACGACGATGAAGAGTGAAACAGGATCAGAAGTCAGAAGACAGACTAAACAATGGGAAAATAATGGCTGTGTGGCGCTGTCGAGAAGTACCTTTAAACATTGGCATCATAAAGCTAGAATACAAAGGCCTCGCAGGCGATGCTCCCAGCGGCGCAAACACCCGTTGTTATGCTCTCCGTAATTCGCCTCAAGGACATGCGTTGCCCACCAGAACTGGCCACAGCAAACATGTAATAGCGAAATACTCAACCGACGGGAACACAGGGCGGATGACCAACGGTGTGTATTTGGTGCAGCAAAATCAAGTCACCAACTGAAGACGTTGATTGACTGCAGACACGTACCGTAGTGCTATGATATCTGTAAGGCATCGACGGTCATAAGCTGGCAATTTCCTATTGCTTTCTACACGTTGTTTAGGTTTCAAAACCGCAAAGCTACGGTCATCATCACTGACATCAACCCCACATAGCAACAGTAGTGCTTCATTGCCATACCACGTACGTATGGGGAGTGTGCGTGTGAACATGCGCACCATGTGTATTTGGTAAACACGGGCTTCTTTGAAAATTGATTCAGCATTGAATGAAGAGAATAAAGGACAATTCTAATGAAAGTCAATTTTACTGCCAGACTCATAATGCTCACCGTATGTTTTCATGCATCCACGCGTGGCGGAGCAAAAATATGGGAGAAATATGAGTTGATAAAAAATCCCAACAAGGGAGGTTCCCAGAGAGCAACGCAATGGACTAAATCGGACTGCCAGCCTCTTGTAGCGAAAAAGAATTTACCGCTAATGCCCCCGATGGCTTCTACATTCAGATCAGATGTCTTTTAAGCTGGGCACAACAGTGGACGCCTGACGAACCCATGGCCCTTCCTTCACTTTCAAAATTGTGTGACAGCCTCATCAAGCTGATCGGCCTTTCTCACCACAGGCCAACTGAATGGTTACCCGAGGTGCCAGAACGCCATCAACATCAGCTGTAAGGACTGCGGACTGGTAGCAGTGGTTATAACTGCCATAGTTTCGTTCAACGAAGGTTTGGAAAGATAGGGTAGGTACCTGCACCGAAGGGGTGCTACAGCTGAAAGATTTTTTCACATGTAACCAAATGCACCTGACTTTCATGCCACAAGAAAGAAGTACGAGGGCTGTGATACTGTCAGGTTGCCCAAGCCTAGATAGAAGTCGAGATGTATAAAGTCGGGTTCGAACTGCAGACCTTCCTGTCAGTAAATTTACGCTCGAACCACGGAACAGGCTCGCCCCGATTCCGCAAAGCACTAACTCACAAAAAACAACCAACAATGTGCCACCACATGCGATCTAACCTTAAACACAGACGCAGCACATCGCCATTATCTATAGGTGGTGCCTGTCAATCACTGATTATAGCTGCTACTGGGATAGTCATGTGGACTCGGATCACGTGCATGTTCGTTGCTACATCTCGCTACGCTTCTCAGGGGCACGCAAGATGTGAATACCTAAATGGTCACTGAGAAGCGCCCAGACCCTGAATTGAGGCAGGCCTACCAAAACTGCTTAATGAAGCCACTGACTCAATCCCCCAAGATCATGAGCACTCAATAAGTAACGGCGCAGTGAAATAGATATAAGCATTGTATGCTGTGCAACATCCCGGAATTTCTCGAATTGCGAACACGTAATTCTCTGGTCCAGAGCACAATAAATAAAAATCAGTCAGCTGTAGCACCATTTCAGCGCCTAGCTGCCATGCCACACGAAGGAGGCACGAGGGCTGGGATAATGCCAGGTTGCCCAAGCCTAGACAGAGGAAGTCGAGAGGCAGAGGTCGAGTTCGAACCACGGAGAGCACAATGCTACTCGACGAACGGTCTGACCTCAGGTGAAAAAAGCATTTGCGAAGATTGAGAAGTTTGGTGGATCACGAAAGCCGACGAGATGGAGGCTAGAAAGTTCTGGAATATACTCAAACTATTCTCGCTGATACGGGCTATAGGTTTGGAATCTTCTGTTGGGCGAAACATTCATTGAGAAAAAAATGGTACGCATATTTCTCGTCTGAGCCTTATATTGAACACTGTAAACAGTTCAATGGCCACCAAGAGCTGTTCAACCGGCCAGCAACTCAAGCCTGAACAATAAACTTTAAACCCCAACGGCTTCCGAAATAAGCGAGCGCCTTTTCTGCCTCAAGCGTCAAGGGACTACTTTCCGGAGTAAACTCACGCCATCCGTTTGGAGATGAACAGGAATCACTCATTTGGTGACTGTATAACATGTTTACTTATAACTGGGCGAAACAGGCCTTCCCGAACAATTGGGATGGGTCAAAAGTTGCCCCTCCAGCACATGATTCCAAAGAACACATGCGATTAGATGAATCCGGAAAGTTCAAACTAGAGATTTCCCTGAATCTTGAAACAGTCTGTATGAGGCAAACGGAGCAAAAAATCACCCGCTGCTCTAATTACACGCAGTGGGGCCATGAGCGAAGAAGCGCTGCCACAACACCATGTCAATTGGTCGGGTGCATCGATAACTGGAAAGGGCCAAAAAGCATTTTTTGATTGGACTGCGTATAGACCAATCCGAGTCGCGCATATTCAGCTCACAGATTCACGGATTGATACCTAGGATCGAGGCTATCGCCCAAGTTTCCCGAGTCGCTTTTGTTCTTGTCGGTCAGTGGCTGTCGTTCACCTGAAAGGCACAAGTGAAAAAAAGGGTGTAGCACTGCTCCTTATGTTCTCAGCGCTGGACAGTATGCTCGCCAGCGCGAGGATTCGCATAAACAAGTGTCTAATAGTGCTTTAAACTGGGTTCTAGAAGGAGCGTGAACAACCGCCGGAGGAAGGTCATTCCACGCAACTACCACCCGAAATGAGAAAATAATTTGTCTAATGAATGTGTGTGCTCTGAGCTTGAAAATTTTCTTACTATGTCCCCGCCGTGTGTTTGGTGGGCCAACGGTAAAAAAAACCTGTTTGCCAATCTTTGTTCAAACAGGGCATAAGTAAGAATTAGGTCCCCTCGGGGGCGACGGTACTCCAGGGGCAAGAGATCAAGCATTGCGAGACGCGTTTCGTAGTCCACGGGTTTGAGGCCGGCAGCCATTCTCGTGGCGGCCCGCTGGACACGCTCAATGAGGGTGACGTCTTTCGTAAGTCCTGAGTAGACAACTTGGTTGGCGTATTCCAGGAGCGGTCAGACGTAAGGCCCAATAGCGCGTTTGGAAGTCCATGCGAGTAATACGGGAGAAGGTGGGCCAAATCATCCGTAAAATGGCGAATGCTTTTTGGGCCGAGTTCTCATGGTGCAGTGAGAAGGACAAGTTTGAGGAGACCCAGATGCCCAAATCCTTTTTGGCATCTGTCCTCATGATGTTTTCTGGTCTCTTT